CCATTATCTGGAATACTATTAATCTAATTACAAAGAACGCAATCTATTGTTTAGTACATGTAGATTATATTAAATCATACGCGTTTGTCTTTTACTTTTACATACAATATTCGTCAAGCTACGGTGATATATTAGTATGCTAATTCAGGATAACTGAATTATTTCTTACTTAGCTGCTATTAGTCACACAGTTACAATGTAACTATGAAGAAATCTTTTATATATCATGCGAATTACGTTTTAGATCTTTATTCCATTGCCAAGAAAAAATGCTGATATAAATTTATTTTATTTATTTATCTTTTTTGTTTTACGGCCCACAAACACAGTTTAGGACATATGGCACCGAAACAGAAAAAAAAAATGATTTGATTTCGGCTTATCTTGGGTGTTACACACTAAATACAATTCCTGGGGTCAAAACCATCTCTCTTTCTGAAGCTAGGAGAGGCACAGATTCCAGTTATTCCGACCAATCTAGTCGCCTTTTACGATAACGCACCCAATTTTGATGCCTCAACCCTTAAAGGCAAACCCTCAGTCACAATACATACGAACATATGAAAAAATACGTTGACACTCTAAGAAAGTCTGTTTAATTTCTTATTTTTTGTTGTTGATGTTACTTTGTTTTAAAAAGAGTAAAACGAAGATTATATTATAATATAATTATATATGTATACTTTAAAATGTTCATAACATTAGGTATACATGCGTCTTCATTTGCAACAATGGCATCTTGCTAATAATTTCGGTGAGGAGAAACATATACATGCGTTAGTCCCGCCTGGAAGCGTGGTATATAGATAAACACAAACTATTGTAGCAACAATGCTAAGAATGTGTTGCTTCCCCTGCAATGCTATTTCAATTCTCCAGCTCTAGCAAGGGGGAAGATCGCTGGCTATATTTTCAGATAAACAATTAGCTCGCAGTATGGTGCAAGAAAATTGATACAGTTTCTATTATACTCTTGGTTCAAAATGCCAAAACGCGTATTCTTAAATTAATGAAATAAATGAGGTAAAACCCGTTTCAAGTTATAGGTGAGTAATAAATTTAAATAAAACCATCAAGTTTGAGCTATTTTGGGATACATTCGTATGCAACTGTTAATAGAAAACAGTACTTGTTGTTGATATTCAACACATTTAAAAAGATTATTATAATAATGGGGAAACATTAGATCTTGATGATATACATTTACTGCTTGGATATATAAATAGATTTTCAATATTTTTGGTTTAATTATAATCTTACAAAGGAATAATGTTTAAATTGTTTGTTTAAATCATCAATTTTTCCCGAATTTTGTATAGCATTTAACAGAAATAATCACCCAAATAAAACACTTAATTGACCTTGCAAAACATATTATGCTACTACTATTTCCTTGTCACATACTTAAACAGCCGATTTACACGTATTATGATGGTTGTTTATTTTCGCTAATCTTGACACCACAAAGTTAACATCTACGAACAAACTGAGCGAAATTAAGCCGATCTCAAGTATTTTTGAAATGCCGTAACAGATGGAAAATACATATTTTCGTTATAGGAAACGCTAGACATAGGTTGAATTATGGCGGAAATAGTTGTTTGCCGCTGTAGATGCATTTTGTTTTGGTTTCGTGTCTATCAATTGTGTTACAATTTGTCCGTCTTCTATAAAAAAAAACAATATTTAATGAGTTCCAACATGGCAAAATTACATATGTTGCAAGCGTGTTTGATTAAGCTCATTCAAGGCAGAGGGTCTAGTTCAAATTTCATTAAATTTTATGCGTGTTACAAAAAATATCATAAAATACACCCACTCATGTTTAAAGTTATCTTCTTTCTATTCGTTATAAGCAATATGCATGTTCATTCTTAAAAAATTAACTGAAATCAATTAAGTTACATTTCAAGGACAAGGGGGTAAGTTTACTAAATCTTAAGTTAGAATTAAATTGGCTAATATTAAACACATATTCAGGTGGTTTTACCTCATTCAAAGATTCTTTTCCTTTGAGAGTTATATAAGATATTCATTAATTTACACTACCTCTAATCCACGCAACATAAGTTTTCAATGAAACAAAAAATACTTTATTTGATATGGTAGTAAAAAAGGAATGTGAAAAACGTTAGCCAAGGTGCAAAGTCGTTTTCTTTCACCAGAAAGCCAAGAAATGTTATAAACAAATTACCAGCAGTAAATGAGCCAAGGTGTACGTCCCACTGCAAATTGATTTCATATCAGATAAAAGCTGTGATTATCAAAGCAGCTTGTAAAGTTCTAACAAAAAAATGGCATACTATTACTTTGTAAATACTAAAGGTGTGCCGCATAATATTGTAAATTTATTCATGAAGGAAAAATATACAGCACTTTTGCATCAACTCATTGATAAACTGTCTTCATACTCCCTGAATAACAGTGAGCACCGTGGAACATCTTTTAATTGTTATGCGATGCAACCTTTGTGGTAAAAAGATAAGAATAATTCGCCTTCTTTGCAAAAATTATGAGTTCTTGAGTGCTAAATTATTGTTATATTCTGTAAGTAAGCTTCGGAAACTGAAACAATACTAAAAAGGGATTGACTGATTGATTGATTGATTGATTGATTCATTCATTCATTCATTCATTGATTTATTGATTCATTGATTCATCCATTCATTCATTCATTCGTCCATTCATTTTTCATTCATTCATTCATTCATTCATTTATTTAATTTCATCCATTCTGTCATTGATCAATAAGTTTAAAAATAAGTCATTTCATCGTTTGGTTGCCTGTTTGTTTGATTTTTTTATTTGTTCATATTTTTAGAGAAACACAATTATTCTTTTAAAAACTGAGGATATTTTCACAGTCACATTGATTATTTCTTGTTTCTACCTTTATTTCTAAAAATCTATTATGACTAGTTTAATAATACAAGATCATAATACAATAACAAAAGCAACAACAATATGTAGATCGTTGACATTGAAAAACCAAAACGTATTTCAAACTCTATACCGACTGATAACCGATCTATACATTCTCGACATCCTTATAAAATATATATATTCTAAAACGTGCTCCAAATTTGCAAATTACCGCGTTGGACCAGTGCTGTATGCAATAAATAGCTAACAGAACATGATTGTGAAACGAACATTATAGCTTTATTAATTTAATAAGGAAATTGTTATGAAGAACATCAAAGATTATGAGCATAAATAATTACAAACGTCTTTGATGTTTTCGGTTAATTTAACAGCATTCCGTCTGAATAAAGCCATATTTAGTTCAAAAGCTGTCTTCTCTGTTTATGATATCAAGTATCATAATATTATCGTATAATAGATTAATCAATTTTGAAAAAAAATCATTCAGAAATGATTGATGTACTATGATGCGCCATCTTGGCCAATAAAAAAATGTTTCAGTAACGATTCTGTTTTACTTAAAAACTAAAGAATTTGTCGAAAGATATAGTAAATGACAACATCAAAGTCTCCAATATGAACATCATTAATATATTTTTTTTCAATTAATCAAATCAGTAAAATAAGATTTCATAGATTAAAATGTACAAAATATAGACGAAATATGTATTGAATAAAATTGTGTATTTTCACTTCGGGTTTCTGTGTTGCTATTCCCTTTTATATGAAATATTGAATTAAATTGGACACGTGATTTTGGAAGGTTAGTTATGTATTATTATCCATATAATTAATTAAAGTACTATGTTTTAATTAACTCTAATACTACATGGATTTCGATATGCCACACTTTTAGGCACTAAGCAGTGTTAAAACGTATTATTAATCATTTAACAGTATGAAATAAAACTTTTTATTTACGTGATCAATATTTGACTAGTATCATTTTAAACACATTTGTCACAGATTTTGATATTAAAACTTTAGCCTTTGATTATTAAATGATGGCGTATTTTTCATAGCTAGGGCATATTATGAAATAACTGTTCACTTTTTCTCACAGAAAAAAGTTTGCACGAGAAAACAAAATTCACACAAAGAGCACTGGATAATATATATTTAAATTAGATGTTGTTGAAATAGATGTCTGATCCTTTATCGCTGGTTTACTGCTTTCACGTTAAATCACTCGAATAAAAGATGAATACAAAACAGTTGTAAAATTCAACTGTGACAAACATCGGTCGAGTTTTAGTATTGCAACATAATCGACAAGGAACAAAAAATGTGACTCCCGCGAAGGTTATTTACATAAAATTTGGATGTATCAGATATTTCTGTTTACGGCATATTTTTGTTACTCTCAAGCAATTGTTCTTATTTAGATTAACTAGTTGACAGGATTTTTTGAAAAGTGTGCTATTGATATTTGACTGTTTTTTCCCAACTATTCACATTAATCATAAAACAATAATGAAACTATGAATTCAAAGTGAAATTATTTTATGGCTATCATGATCAACTTCCAGTCTTAATTCCTACGGTTCTGTCTTGTCTTCGTGTCTTTATCAGTTCAGTTAATAAAAGTTTCAGGCTGGTTACCGTTTTGATACAAACTGCACGTTTTACATTAAAAAAACAACGATTAATTTTACAATATAATCATGAAATGGTTTAAATCTTTCGTTCAATCAGTTACTGAAATTTTATGACGATTAACGGGACAAAGATACAAATTTCTGTTATAATGCACGGCTTTCATAATGCTCTGCATTTCTAATGGAGTTACATGCATTTAAATTATATGTTTATCTTGTCTTAAAAACATTCAAATATATCACAGTAATTCAAATATCCCAAAAGACATTTTTGTAACATGATACAAATGTAACTGGTAATGTTTTTACGAGCCCGCTAGCCAAAAGCTTAAGAGTATGGAGGTGTCGATCTTGGCTCCTTTTGGACAGATGGGACACCAAGTTTTATGCCGGCTGAAATGTTTCGTGCGATTTAAACAGTGTCTGTTCAACTTAAAACTTATTACCACAATTTATATAATAAATTAAAAAGCTTACCTCCCAGCATTATGTACAAGATGAAATATATGGTCGCAAAGGGCGGCAACAAATTATACCACGTGACCAAGTATCCGAATGTCCGTGTAAGCATTGTTGTCACATGACTTTGTTATTGTTCCATTTATCCACGTGCTCTTTTTCTTTTACTGTTTCTCAAACACATTTTCTATTCCATCTTTACTCCACCACTACTTTTATAGCATCTATTCGTAACTAAATCCTCTTCACAGATTAATTATTTTGCTTTGTAACACTTCATACAACTGGATAATCTAATTCCCATTTATTGCTAAGAATTATGGGATTTTGATGAATAATTTATTTATTCTTGGTTTAAGAATGATAAAAGAACTATCGTTTTCGCCCTTTCAATTCATATCATTATGGTGTCTTCTCTTTGAAGTGGATTCTTCCGGCGTATGTATTGTTTATCTATCTGAAAAAAGAACAATAAAGTCTAAGTACGTAAACATCATATAGTAAAACATCAAAGCCGCTTTGTTTAAATAGTCAAGCATTTAAGGACAGCGGGGAGAGTCGCACAATAATGTTACACTTAAAAATTGACTTTTATTATTAACATGTACCACAGGAAAATCTTGATTGATTTTCTCTAGAGGCATTTATATATTAGTATTAAACATGACATATTTAACAATGTGAACAATTTCTTTATTTTTCTTTTAAGATCAAAGTATTGCGGGCTAGGTTTTGTAAAATTTATGGAATATTCATTTTATTTAACGTGATATACACAATGAACAGTTCAACAGAGCATACTGCTAGGGTGTGTGCATAAAATACGAATAATGTGTTGATAACAACGTACTTACAACATTCGTGTCTGTAAATACAGGTGTATATTAAAATCTATATAAAAAGGCGCTAAATTATCACATATCACATAACAAATAATTCATTCTTAGGAAAACAACACTGTAAAAAGTGTAATATTATTTATTCTAGTTACTGGCAGTAATGCAGTATGAGTCAATAATGGAAATATTTGGCAAGAATTATTCATGTTTTATAGATCATTAAACACTTTCAATCTGCACTTTATTAACTGATAATAATGTGCCAACTTTGCTCTTGTCTAACCCAACTTTATTGCTGTTAATCTATACATATTATTCTTGTCTACTGATATAAACTCTTAAATTTAACGTTTTTATCTATTTAAAATAAGACAAGTTTTTTAATGTATTTAAATTGTGTAGATTAAATTATAAAAATCATCATAAAAATTCATTTTTTATAATAATTTATCAAGCATGGAAAACATGTTATCTTTTTTTATAGTTTTTTTTAATGAATTCCTTCGTAAAAACTCCTAAAGAGCACTTCACTTTTTAATTAATAGTTTGTTTATGTGTTTTAAACCAGAAAAAAAAACACGGAATAAATCACCTTTGATGAGTATGCAAACTTTATCATTTCAGATAAAATTTAGTTTTACTTTTCACATAAATTTAATATGTTTCAATCAGCACAGCGATATTTGTTACACTGAAAAATGAATAAGTAAATTGCCTTCAAAGTTTCATATTGCTATAGATTAATTCAAGAGTTATGTTTCTGTTCCAGACGATTTCCAATTACGCGAACAAATTGCATTGGCCGCTGTGCGTGTATGATATTGATTAAAAACAATTACTTTGTACTTAGTTATCGTTGTTTTTATATCTCAAATATTATTTTTTGGTTAAGTTAAGAGCCATATAGGCACTATAAAACTCGTGTAGATATTAATAAGGACCCTTATAGTAATAAGGGTTTACCCTGGCTTGAACATGTAGGTCCGTAGTGTTGGTGTGGAATTTTGTGATGATTGTACTTATTATGTGCTGTGTATTGCTAAAATTACCATGTGTGTGTATTATGCCAAATAATATCCTATCATATTCGGCTTCATGTATTGGGGACAATCCCAAAATATCCGCATAGAGAGTATACCACATTAATTTGTTAAGGTATAGACAAGAGCCTGCGAAGAATCTCAAAGAATTTCAAATGAAAAACAGATATTGTAAATGACTTGTATATTCAGAATAGTTGACATCAAATGCACAGAAAATTAGCTAAAAACAATAGACAAGAGTTTGTCAGCATAAAACATCATGGAGTTGAATTTGCAAATCAAGATGATAGATAGTAAAACACAAGTTAAACACAGAAAGTCTTTATTAAGGAATTATAATCATATTATTAAAGAGAAAAAAACGCCAGAAATCGACATATTGATGATTTTTTTTTTAAATTATTGGCCACACTTGATGCTACTCATGCAATTTCATCTGAATTCGAAAATTTAACGAGTACATATTAACGTCTTCAAAACAATTATTTGTACCGCTGCCTTTTGAAACGTTACAAAAGCGCGGCAGCACTATACCAGCCGGTGTAATAGGGCTAAGATTTATAAATGAGTAGAAGATCAGAGGTTGTTTTAGCATTACAGTATATCATGACAACAACTTATCTCTGACTATTGATCTATCTTAACAACATGTCATACAAAAAGGGATACAAAAGATTGATGGTGGTTGGGCGATATTTGAAAAACGCATAACTTTGATTTATGAAAATGCATCTTCACTTAATCTGAGGACGATTCTAATGATTTTTTGAACTGATTTATGGTTTTCAACTTATACATTTTTTCACAATGAACTTAACAAACAGGCTGATTATGCTGGTGTCACAAGACTTCGTGGTAGAATTTCCCTGAAAATCACGCGTTTTTCTGTGATAAATCCAAGCAATTTTGACAAATGTGTTGTCATTAAAAGGCGCAAAGGTATTTGTTTACGAGATACTTGTACATTTGCTGTTTAGTCGCAATAAATTTGCAATATAATATATCCCATCAACGGTGAATGCTTACGCCAAAAACAGTTTAAGTGCAGTAAATGCATGCCCACTTATTACTAAAATGCAACATTTCATTATTTATTCAAGGAATACCATATGTCAGAATACATAAAATGTTTCATATGTATGGTGTATCTGGGAGGACATGTAATGAGTGTAAGTAAAAGCTTTAAAACTGTAGATTAGTAACTTTTTTTCGAAGGGTATCTATTGCGCTAGAAAAGCAATAACAAAGACAAAGCAAAATGTTCATAAAGAACGCCTAACGTTAAAGAATATTGAGTGGAGCAAAAATGGTAATTTTTATAAAGAGTGAAAGATACACCCTAGTCTATTGTTCCCTAAAATAATTGCAATATTTATAATTATATATACTCTTTCGATATGATAAAGGCGTGTTTAACAGGTGTTCTAATTAATTTTGTCCATGAAGAACCAAGATAAAACAAGGAACACAATATAAAACAAAATTAAAAGGAACACATAAGGGCATCTCTTTATATAGGAAATAATAAGCATCAACATTGAGTCTGCTGGTGGCAAATGAATCAACCAATACGACCAGTTCAAATCAACATCATCTGGTGCATGCTCGCCGTCTGTTTGAAGTCAATATTCATTTTTTGCTTTTGACAATTCCCATAAAATTAACAAATGCTTTTTTATTCAGATAGTAAGATGGACACATTCAGATTTAGCATGGCAAGGGTTCAAACCGAGCCTGCAACATTTTCAATTTTGTTGTGTTGGACTTCCTTTAGGGATTCTGTTTTTCACTATTTTATACCATTTTTGCATCATTGATTTATTTCAGTACACACGTGAGCTTTAAGTATAATATTCCTTTCAAGTGTAATGCGTATATAACTTAAACAAGTATTAAATTATACCGGAAATCTCATAAAGCAATTTACCAGGATGCAAACAATGTTGTACATCAAATGTATACGGAATTTATGACCAATCTCTTTCTTTTCTTGGCAATTTAGTTGTGTTTGTGTTAATATAGGATAATGAAAACTTAAGCCCGTAAAGTTTGCTACTCAAAACAAGTTATTCCAAATTTGATGTGAATTCCAAGACAAAACAAACCTTACATTTTAGTAATGCGTATTTACCTAATTAGAGATGACACAAACAAATATTTATTGGAATCCTTAAGACAATTCTTGACTCATTTTGAAATATTGTTTCTGATTTAGTTTTACATTGGCTGCAATAAATGTAAACATGTGTACGCACGGTCACATAAAGCAGTAATAAAAGTTTGCCAATAATAATTTCAAATAATGGTTTAAAATATATTCTTCATAAACGTTAAGTATACAAGGTCTAGACTCATTTAAAGTCGTTTAAGTACAAACAGAAAAATGGTAAAATCTTTTGAGAGTAACGAAATGGAGATTGAAAAGTAAGAAACGCAGACGACATAAAATGTTATGAGACAATTGCAACACCTTTCAATCTCATTAAAACACGCTTAAACAAATTAAGAGAGCCGTCAAAAGTTGTGATGTACTTTTTGTTGGTGATTTAGTGATTTCAAATTGGACGTGGGCAGAGAAAAAAAAGAACATAACAAGAATATTAGAACATTTTCGTATCATATAAATGTTTTGAATTATAAGTCTAAGAATATCTTACTGAAATTTTAAACATATATGCAAAGGCTCAAAACATGTACGGTTTCCACATTTTCCACTAAAAGCCTTTTTTTGCAATGGGTTTCATTTGTGTAGAAAGACATATGACAGGTTAATACGATCATTTGTACTTCTTGAATCGAATGTTGTTAGAACTGTCAAACCAGAGAAATCCTAAATCATTCAATTTTTCTTTTGCTTTTATCTATACTCAAACAGTTTTCGAAAGTTAAAAATATTATCAATATTTCTTGAAAGCTAACTTTGAATATCAATTCGAATATCCAAAGATATTTGTCCATGAACTTTAATTAAAGCTCTGCGAGGACACACGTAGTAAAGCTGTTCCCGTACTTTAACATTAATTGTACTATTAAGTTGAAATTCAGGGTTATTTCACGGTGGTAAACAAAACATCAATGGCTGATAAGCGGTGTTATATCAAAGTGACGCGTGGCGGACCATATAACATCAATTAGGTCCAATTTCCTCTCTCAATGTCGGATAAATACCGACGTTCAAATAAATCGTTCAGAAATTAATTCAGTTATGTGCACTAAATAATCAGAACTGTAGTGAAACTGATGACGTAATGTTTTCATAAAGACAATTACCAAAGAATATGAAAGCTTGATTAACGTTGGAAGCTATTAAAGTTAATTTGCCATGCAAATGTTCCGAACAGAAAAAGAATAACTGTCATTATAACATATCGTTTATATCCGTGATAAAGTAAAAAAAAGGATGTTGATTATTTCTTCCAAATATTGCGTACAATTTGAGATATTATCTTTTGATAACAGCATGGTTTATTATACAGCTAATAATGGATACTTTTCATTATTTCTATAGAGAAGATTTCTATGAGTTGCTTTCTCAGAATTATTTGTTCATTACCTCGCATTATATTTGAAACAAA